TAGTGAATGATCTTTTAATGTGCTATTTCTCAGTATTTTTTATTTATTTTTTTTTTAGGTGTAGATGGACACAACACAATGCCTTTATTTGTTCATGTGGTACTGAGGATCGAACTTGGGTCCTGCCCATGGTAGGCGAGTGCTCTACCGCTGAGCCACAATCCCAGCCCCTATTTCTCAGAATTTTAATAAGGATTTTTGCATCAATGTTCATCATGGCTATTGGTCTTGTTCTCTTTTTGCTTTTGTTCTTGTCTCCTTATCCAGATTTGTTATCAGGATGATACTGGCTTCATAAAATTGAGTTTGAAAAGGTACCTTTCCTTTCTATTTTATGTAACAGGGGAGCATTGGTTTTAACTCTTCTTTTCAAAGTCTAGTAAAATTCAGCAGTGAATCCATACAGTCCTTGGCTTCTTTGGGAGACTTTTATTACTATTCCAATCTCATTGTTACTTATCTACTTATAGATCATCTTGGTTCAGTTTTGGCAAGTCTTTTGTGCCCAGAAATTTATTCTAGATTTTCCATCTTATTGACATAGTTTTTCAAAATATCCCTTAATGATCCTATGGATTTCAGAGGTTATCTGTTGTAATATACCCTTCTTCACCTCTAATTTTACATTGTTTCTTTTCTCTTTCTCTTAGTTTGACTAACGATTTGTCAATTTTGTTTTCTTTTCAAAGAAACAACTCTGTTTCATTGAACCTTTGTATTCTTTTTGTCTCTATTTCATTTATTTCTATCCTGGTCTTTGTTATTTCTTTCCTTCTACTGATTTTAGGTTCGGTTTGTACTTATTTTTTGAAGACCTTGAGATGCATCATTAGGCCATTTAGAAAATCCTGAATTTTAAGGTATTCAGGGAATCTTACTATACTAGGTAACATTTCTGTACAAATACCCTGGCCAACTCTTGACTTCAATCTCATATGATATGATACAAAGTCCAAAAATCATTGTTTTTTTCTAAATAAAATATGGTTTGAGTTATTTTTACTTTTTAGAGACAGGGAAAGTCAAGTTTGACTTTCCAGTGTGGATGTGTCACCAGAAAGAGAAAGGTCAACAGAGAATCCTTCAATATTCCCTTTTAACACTTTGTTGTTATCTCAAAAGGGAAGCATCAGGAGCATCACAGCTTTTCTAGAGGTAGAGGTCACGGTTTTGGAACATGGCTTTGTCCCCATGAAATTTTTATCCAATTTTCTTGCCCACTAGAGCTATATTGTTTTTAAAGATATCTTCCTTTTTAGCTATCTCTATCACTAAGCATCCTTGCCCAAGGTCTCAAAGACCATGTCAGATCCCCTCTGCTGAGTTTTTAGAGGGTAATAAGTGATGGAAGCAGAAATAATTACAATTTGTTGACATCTTTCCTTCAGACTCACAGAAAAAATTAAATGGGCAAACACATGAAGTTATGTAAAATTTTTTGTCTTTCCATGGTCCTACCAAATATAAAATCCAAATTCAAACACACTGAATCCATTACTGAAAAAAAATATGAAGGCTGGGGTTATAGCTCAGTGGTAGAGTGCTTGCCTCACACATGTGAGGCACTGGGTTTGATCATCAGCACCACATAAAAATAAAGATGTTGTGTCCATCTACAACTAAAAGATTTTTTTTTAAATATGAAAATAAGTTGTAGCACCAGAGATTTGTGTCTGGTGCCCTCCTGGAATGCCACAACTTCCTTTCCAATGCCCGCTCCTGGAATCCTACCACCATCCCACTTGGGTATTATACCAATGGTGTTCTCTGTGCAGCTTAATGATCCTTTCTTTCTTCCCCATTCCTCACCTCCATTTCCATGATTATTCTTATATGTACCATTATTCAGAAGCCACCCCTTTTGACCTTCTATCCTTGTCCCCTCAGGTGTCTTTTTTAACAGACACATAGGCAGAAGCCCCCTTGGTTTCCAATCTTCTAGCCATGCAGTGTCTTCTCTCTTCTATCACAGAGGAACTGGAACTTCCAAATCTATCCAAGTCAATAAATTCAATCCATTTTAATTTTTTTTCAACATTTAATTATTTGACTTTCACAAAATGGAAGTTTATAAAGTAAAAAGTTCTGAATTTCATAGCCCCAACTGAACCCCATAGCACTCATTGGCAGAGATGAGTGCACTCTGCCTAGTTAATGCAAAAATTTGCTGAATGTCTTTCCAGACCTCTTCTATACTTACTCAAACATAAATCTACAAACATACATACCAACTATGTATATACACTAATAGGATTTTTAAAGGAATTTTGTATACAAAAGTAAAAAGTGACCCTGTCATAGACTTCAAAAAATAATAACAGTAGCTGTAGCTCTAATATAGTTTGCAGTATTTTATTCTGTCATATATTTCATGCTTCTGTGATCTCTTTCCCTATGACTCAAGTTTCTCCCATGTTCAAAAGAACTCTCTCTCAACCACATATCCAGTCACAATCAATCTTTGTCCTTAAAAAGAGCTTCCCCTCACTGACTCCACTTCCTCACTTCCCATTCACTCAGTCCTTGCAGTTTGGCTTCTACCCTACCACGCCCCTGAATTTGATTGAAGATCCAAAGTAAATGCCAAGCCCAATGGACATTTTCAGCCTTTAACTCTCAGGGCCCCTCAGCCTATATGACCTTCTTTTTTTGATTCATACCCTATTCAAACTGTTCCTAATTACTTTATTGCCTCCAGTCATCTCCAACTGGGGATGATTTTAACCTTTAGCGGATATGTGGCAACATCTGGAGTCAATTTTGTCTGTCATGACTGAATAAGTGGGGTGGGTACCACTGACATCTAGTGGACAGAGGCTAGGGAGTCTGCTGAATATCCTACAATGCATGGCCAGTCCCCCACAACAAAGAATTATCCAATTCTAAATGTCAGGAGTACTGAGGTTAAGAAAATCTGCATAGAAGGAAATAAACAAACATGAAGGCATTTCTCAAATGTACAGGCTAAGTATCTAGCCCCCAATTTGGATGGTGATTGTCCACACCCTTCCCAACAGGAGGCAGCCGAAAGTCACATCTCTGCTGGATGTCCCAGAGCCATGGCAGCTTTCTGGTATGTAGGTCCACAGTCCCTAGGTGATGTCCAGGACTCCTCCAGTCATGTCTCATTGTGCTCCAGTTGCACACCTCCTCCCCATCCTTCCACCTGAGGGCTAAAGCACACTTTTAGCCCCCTTCAACACAGCTTATGGTCACCAGGGGGAAAAGCAGACCAACCTCCCACCCACTCCCTTCCCTGACTCACTCTCCTCTTCCTCCCACCTCTCCCCCTCCCACTGGCGGTTGGGATGAATATGAGTAAGAGAATGAGGCAGGGAGCTGAACAGACATTGGATATGCTTCTGTTATGTTTCACATTTCTGAATTCACTGAGAACTTTATAGCCAGATTCCTTTACCACATTTTTCCTGGTGGTGGGTTGGAGGAGAGAATGGTCTAGATGAGCATACCCTGAGTACTATGAGTTTCTGACTCACCTTGGCAGTGGTATGAATTCAAATCTGTCTCTGGTTTCATCTACTGATGAGTAGGGAGGATTCTCCTGTCATGAGACTGTGCAGTTATAGGAGTCCTTGCCGGCAGCTGGTGCTGCTGGCATCTTTTGTATGCAGCCCTGTGGGGATTCTCTTAGGGGTGGCGAATTTCTGCTGTGTTAATTTGAGCCCAGTATAAACCTAGGGTTACCCACCCTCCAAGCTTTCTTTGATTTTTCTTGTGATTTAACTCCCCGAGAACATGAGCCATCCCTATTCAATTCATTCTTGGGGACTCTTGGGATGCAGGAATTCCCACTACTCGCCAAACCTCGATAGAACTCCCCATCCAGTTTCAACAGGTTCTTTAATGGTCTGTTGCTTGAAATTTCTCTGCTGTTACCAGTTTCTGACTGGGAAATAATCAGGTTCTCCAGAATAGGAGCCTACTCAAGTTAGCTTAAAGAAAAAGGTATCTGGGGCTAGGGTTGTGGCTCAGTGGTAGCACCCTTGTCTGGCATGTGTGAAGCACTGGGTTCCATCCTCAGAACCACATAAAAATAAATAAGTAAATAAAATAAGGTTATAAAAAATAAAAGACTATCTGGGTAAAGTGTATCCTCACGTAGCATAATTGCAATATGTGAAAGGAGTTGCACCACAACCACTCTCTCCAGCTCTCTGGAGTCACTGGATCAACTCTTCTATGCCTGTCTGCATCCTGGGACCTCACACTCATGTCCTCCAAAAGATACCTCTGTAAAGCACCCAGTTTTTCTCCCCCATAGTCAGGGCCAGGCCTCAGCTGTGGCCTCAGTGTTTGTGGCTATGACCCAGGCCTCAACAAAATTACCCACTGCTTCACTGACCAACTCCATCATGACTATGGCATCTACCTCTCAGTGCAGATGATCTAGCCTGGGAATCTTTGTGGCTCGGGATGTGTCAAATGACCACACTTAACTATATAAGGACTAGGCGGGGAAAGAGGGTGGACTTTTATATACATGACTGTGCACATCCACTAGTGGGGAGACAGGTGTTCACGTGTGTGCGTACACACACACACACATACACACACCCCAAAAGCTGCAGTAGATCTAGGGTACTAAATGACCCTCTGGAATAAAAAGGGGTAATCAAGTTGGGTGTTGTGGTACACACCTATAATACCAGCTACTCAGGAGGCTAAGGCAGGAAGATCACCAGTTTGAGGTCAGCCTGGACCATTTAGCAAGACTCTGTCTCAAAATTAAAAAATAAAAATTGAAAGGGCTCAGAATAGAGCTCAGGGGTAGAGCACTCCTGAGTTCAAGCTCCAATACAAAACTAAACAAAAAACAAAAACAAGGGTAATCAAACCATGTCTTTCCTTCCACCATCTACACCCTCCCCACCTCTCATCCCTCACCTCCATTCCACCCCTTCCCTCCACCTCCCACCCACCTCTGAAAATTGATTTCCCACTGGGATATGTTTCGGTTCTATTTCATATTTCTGAATTCACTAAGGGCTTTGCAGCCAGATTCCCCTCCCACAGCGGAAGCAACTTTCCCTTCGTGAAAAATTCACAGCTTTACACCAAGGGCAGTCCCAATCCCCAGGCCTGCGAAAAACCCGAGGTTTTCTTGGCTGGTGGAGTTCAAAGTCTTTCCTATTAAGGGTTTCTGGAGGGTCTAATCCCTGGGCCCCCATATCAGACCACAGGCTAACATCAAAGGCTGAGCTGTAGGGAAGCATCTGAGGTGGAGCAGATGCTGTGACCATGGCTGTTGGTGGAGATGGTGAGGGTGAGGGTGAGGCTGGGAATGGGGACAAAGGGGATGAATATGAGTAAGAGAATGAGGCAGGGAGCTGAACAGGGAGGGGTTCTGATGAGGCTATGAACAGGGGATTCAGGGTCCCAGAGAGAGAAAACATGGAATTTTCCATGGATCCAGGATCTCCCTCCCTCTGCCCACCAGAGGTGTAATTTTTTGGCTCAGTAGTTCCAAGAAGCTGCAGGAAGTTCCCACCCAGCTCCTGTTCAGCCTCCATGGGGGCAGCTCCCACTGCATTACTCTCCTCTCTTCTTCTTCCTCCTCTTCCTCCTCCTGTGGCATCATCTGTAGCTGCTGTTGTCTCTTCCATCTCTCCTGTTCCTTCAGTCCCTGCCCCTCTAGCAGCAGCCAGGCTTGGCCCCTCTGCAACCTGCTCTGGGGGAGCCCTGAGTTCCTGGAGAGAAGTGGGCAGGGCTGAGATGTGATCTGTGGTCAAGGGGGTGGAGGACTGGCCTAGAGTAGGGGTGAAAGGTAGGACTGGCATGGCAGGGTGATCTTACCACCTGGAGCAGCTTCCACTTTAGTAGGTCACACTCTTTCTGCACTTCCACCAGTTTGGCCTGGGTCAGCCATAGTTGGAAAGCAGCTTCCTTGCGCTCCATCTCTTGTTGCATCGTGAGCTGCTTCAGTTCTGAGGCCAAGGCTTGGGCGGCTGACTTGTGCAATTTGGAGAAGTCCTGCAGCCACTGCACCCTGTGCCCCTGTAAGTGCTCCTGTCTGCAAGCAAAGCGCAAGCCCAGAGCCAGGCTGCCCCAGGCGCAGGCTTCCTGGGCCTCGCTGGACATCTCACTGTCCTCCAGGATGGTTCTGATCTTATCTTCCACTTCCTCCCAGGACAAGGTTAGATTCTCAAGGTAGAACTCAGGGCCTTTCACGTGCCTGGCCATCTTCTCGTTGATGAAGGCCACCACCTTGCTATGCCGAAATCCACTACAGGGGTCCTCAGGTTTCAAGGCCATGATGTCTAAGGGGCTTGTGGCTTTGTGGGCCCTGGGAGATGGATCAACCAGTTGTCCTGTCCTTCTCCTTTAAGACCCCCTAGTCCTCAGCCTCCCCACCCACACCCCAGTCGCCTATAGCCCCCCACCCCATCACTCTTAGTATCCCTCCCCTGCCTTTAGGGCCCACCCCAAACCCCATAGCCCTTAGCCCCTCCCCTCACCCTCAGCTCTACCCCTCACCCTCACTCCTCTCCCCCACCATTAGCCCCTCCCTTCGCCTTTACTCTCCTCCCCTTTCCTTCGCTCCCCACCCCTCTCTTCTCTGTCCCACCCCTCGCTTCTCTGTCCCACCCACTCATAAAGAGCCGCCTCTGCCTCAGTCCCCTCATAGAACGCTTCCCACCGGGCTCACCAGAGTAGATACAGGGCTACCACAGCCCTCTCCCAGGCAGAAAGGGGTCCCTCTCGCTTCGAGGGCTCTGGGAAAAGGGAGCCACGCAGCCAAATCTCTAGGCTTTTACTCTAGGACTGTTCCAACTCCTAGAGACTGCGGGGGTGCGGAGGAGGGAGAGCTGAAGGTCCCGCCCCCTCTTGGGCTCCTAAGGGAACCCACCACATGGCTGAAAGCCATCGAAGGTGGGAAGAAACGGGACTGGTTAGAAAAGACCCAGAATGAAGAAAATGAAGCTCTCAGAAGTAAGTCCAAAAGGTCCCACCCCACCATGATGGTTTGTTCCACGCCTGGTGAGCCCCCTCCAATACTTGGAATATTCTAGAACAGGAAGTAACTCCAACACCTCTGTGGCATCAAGTAGCCCCGAAGGAAGAGGGGTGGAGGAGAGGAGCTAAACTTAAGAATGCAAAGGATGAAAACATTCCTTTCATTTCCCTGATGCTATGTACTTTTTGGCCTGCAAATTAATTTGCCAAGAGTGGTTAGAAAAGACACAGAATGAAGAAAACGAAACTTTTGTACAAGTAACAAAATGCCGAAACCCCTCCTTCCTGACGTATATTTATCTAACCCCAGAGTATGTTAAGACCCCTAGAGGTAGAGTGTTCCAGTCAGGGAACATCTCCAACCTCTCAGTGGCCTCTGGCGCCACCCCCTGGAGAAAATTTCTGTAGCTCATGTTCAGACTATTGAATTCCCTCCAATAGGAAGTTTAGTTAACATTTTCTGTAAAGGAACAGAGAGTAATTATTTGAGGCTCTGGGGAAAAAGAATATGTATCCCAACTACTTGCCATAAAAAAGTAGCCATAAATAATACCTGAAGTAATGAGCATGTTCTGTGTTCTGGTAAAATTTTATTTAGAGTAGGCAGTTGGCATGATTTGGCCTAACTCCTGCTCTATATTCCCATATCATGTGTGTCCTAAAGACCTCTCAAATCAGAATGTTCTTAATGTAACTCAACACTCTTTGTTTAAAAGTTTAGACAAGTTCAATGAAGTTTATTTGAGCAGAGAATGATTCATGAGTCAAAATTCTCCTGAATTTTGGAGAGATTCAGGAATGATTCAGCCTGAGCAGTGAGATTTATAGGACAAACATAAAAATAGAGAAACCACCTGATTACAGCTAGGCAATCTGCCTTATTTGGGAATGATCTGATTGCATGACTTCATGTGATTGGCTGAAATACAGCTGATTTTGATTGGTGCAAACCTGGCTGTTTGTTATTCTTTAAAATTTGAGTTTTTTAATATACCAAATTTGTTCATAGCTTAGGTAAGGACTCAAAATGTAGGAACAGTCTCAGGTCAGTGACCTCCTACTTATTCCTATGTTGTGCAATATAGAAGTCTTGGAAAAAAAACAACACCTAACTAACTCCCCAAAATGTAGGCAACAATTGGTCACCATACCCTTTGCTAGTACCTTAGAAACTCCTTGGATATCTGTTCACATTTAGAGATTGCCCATATTGTTTTTAAAATATTGTTCCTGTCTTTAATTTCCTCCTAATTCCTAATTGCTTCTAGATTTTTTCTATGTTCAGGTTACTCCTAAGCTTAAAAATATATGATGGCTCCTTATGTTACACTCTTTGTCCTGATATTAGAATCTTTCTACAGCCTGCCTTTTGGATTTAATAATCTCCATTATCTTCTCTCCTATTATTAATACATCCCAAAGGAATAAGTCATGAACAGATACACTTATCTTGTGTTTTGCATTATCTATCCCTGGAAAAATCAGGTTATTCATCCTTTATTATTCAGCATTATGTTTTATTCTGTGAACTACATTGAAAATGGTAGTATTTATCCTATATGGTAGTATAAGAGAAAAAAAAAGCAATCAGGCTTTAAAATATTACCTAAGAGGGTAGTTGAATACCAAAGATAGAGAGTTTCCCTGATTTAACATTCTTTTAAAATACTGTCTTGTACTTTCTTTACATTTAAACTTTTGTATTTATCAGCCATCAGTAGTCATGGTTCATAATTTGGTTTTAGAGTGATTTCTGCAGAAAGGGCACTCAGAAAATGAACTTTTGAGGAGAAGTGGGAGAGACAAGTGATAGGGAGGATCATGAGGGAGCTGTCACAGTAATTCAAGAGGTAAATTGAGGTGCTAGATGTAGAGATGGAGAGAAGAATGCAGAGAGTCATTTGTCCAGTTTAAACATGGACTTTAGGTGGAATTCATTAGAGATGTTAGGGATGAGAGTTAGGAAATGCCTAAGATAATTTCCAGGTTTCTGGTATAGGGGACTAAGAAGATAGACTTTGATGGATAATGAAGCAGTTGGTTAGAGTTAGTTTACCTTCCTATAGATAGATAGATAGATAGATAGAGATGGATGGATGGATGGATAGATAGATAGATAGATAGATAGATATTGAGGTAACCTGTTGGGTGACCTGGTAGAGATACCCAGTCAGCAGTTTGAGTCTAAAGCTTAGGAGAGATATCAGGGTTAGAATTATTATAGTGGGAGGAAGAAGTTGAATTCTTGGTAGTGTTTGAAATAACATAGGGAGAGGATATAGAGTGGGAAGAGGCCTGCCTTATGAATCTCTTCCTTTCTATCAGGGTCCTGTCTTTGGTGGTTTAATAGTTATCTACCTTATTCTTTGTCTTCTATTCTTCTAATGTAAGAACATCTTTTACCCTACTTTTCTTTGATAAGAATTTAAACATGGACTTCAGCTTGAAATCAGTTTTCTCCATATGCTGCCATCATTTCACTTCTGATGAATAAACATCTTTGGAAAAATAATTTTTTTTCACATGGCTAAAGAATTGAAGAAGGGAAAAAAACAAAAGAGAGGGAGATCTGTTAGAAAATTATTTCAGTGCATAAGCAGAACTTTATTAGGGTTTGAACTATGGAAGAATCTAGATGTCAGAAGAGTACACAATTTTTAAAATTTAAATTAAATTTATTTTTATTTTTTAAAATATTTATTCTTTTAGTTTTTTTTAAGTGGACAGTATATTTATTTTACATTTATGTGGTGCTGAGAATTGAATCCAGTGCCTCACGCATGCTAGGTGAATGCACTATCACTTGAGCCACATCCCCAGCCCCTGAATTAAATTTATTTTTAACTACTGAAACACATGTTAGTGGGGTAGCATGATGTTTTGATACAAGTATCCATTTTATAATGTTTAAATCGAGTTAAACTTATATACCTCCTCAAAAATTTACCATTTTTATGGTGAAAACATTCAAAATCCTTTCTAGTAATGTTTTGAAATGCATAGTACATTTTTGTTATCTGTTGTCACCTTACTGTGCAATAGCACACCAAAAATACTAGCTCTTTTCTAATGATATCTTAGTACTCACTGATCAATCTTATTCCGTCTGTCCCCTTAGGACAGATTTTGAAACAGAATTAGCATGACTTATTATCCAGTTTTATAATAACAATAAATATGGGAAGATGGCATGGAGGGTGATTTTGAGGTATCTGGTGAAATTTGGTGTTATGATTAGTGATGCCTCTAACCATAGTATAGAAGGAAAATCAGACTATAGGAGACAGATGAGTTCAGTTTGGATTGATAAGTGCCTCATGACAGTTATATTGACTCTTAGATGACTCAACTGGGATGGAATTTAAGAGAGAGAACATAACTGGAGATATATATTATAGCTTTGGATGGTTGCAGTGCTCAGTTGTGGCTAGGATCCAGTGCTTAAGATGAAGGTTAGGTGGGGAGAAAAAAAAATGAAACAGAAAAAAAACCCACTAAGGCCTAGGGAAGAGTGGTCAATAATTTGGGAGTAAACCAAGGAAAAATAATAAGCAATAGAAGTGGTAGAAAGAAGTAGAAAAAAGGAGGGGATAGTTTTAAACTAAGAGATTTTGAAGGTGAAATAAGTGTTACTCTTTTCAAATAATACATGGAGGTTGGATTGGATTAGGTTTAGATTATTAGCTAAACCTAATGAACAAAAGGTCATCCAGTTCACATAATAAGGTATTCTTAATGATTCTACTGATTAGAAAATCAATAGAATGATATGCAGAAGTAAAATGATATTGGGCCATAGAATGAAGTTAGAGGAGCAAGTATAAATAGTGAATATTGACAAGTCTTTCAAGGTCTCTGAAACTGACAGCTATGGTGGCATAGACAGAAGTCAGAGAATAGATCATGGAGGCATAGGGCATGATAGATTAGTTGCTAAGACAATTTAGTTATAAAATTTTCAACAGAAAGTCAGGCAAGGTAGGTAATCATATAAAGAAAACTGTTTTTGAAGAGTTTGAGGTGTAACTTGGGTAATTGACAAAATCTTTGTCAATATTATGAGGAAAATTATAAAACAATGTTATTAACAAATACAAAATATCTGTAATGTAAGTATGAGCCAATGAGGAGGTAGGAATAGAGTCAGTGGAATTGGTTGGGGAAGGCTTTCTGGATGAGAGATATATTGTTGTTAATAGAAATATCAGGATTCTCCACAGATTTATGGAAAGCTTTTTGATTATAGGATGATGTATTTCAGATTATTATTCTTAAAGTTCTTTTCATTCAAACAAGAA